TAAAGACATATATACATATTAGAATACATCAATATACAATTCAATATTTTGTGCTATATTCCACTCAAACTATCCTTCCCTGTGAGGAACTCTCATTGAACGCATAAGCCCAACCAATCCAAATGTTCAACATCCGTCAGTTTTTGTGTTTTTTACATAGTCCTCACGTTCTCACATCTACCTTCTGCACATTTGCAGCCCCTCTGCCCTTGACTACTTGTTCTCACAACTCGCCCTTTTTTATCTCGTCCCTATTCTCCCAAGCAGCAGGAGCCCTTTTATTTAACTGTGGCTCATTTCAGAGCCATGCTTCTTGTCTCATAACTCTTATCAGGCAGTCCATTTTGTCTGGGCTCTTTCTGACAAGGCTGTCATCACTCAGCCTCAGAGGACTGATAGGAAAATTGCATCTAGTGATATGAAGGAAATCGGTTTTACCTTCACCAAAGTATGTTAAAAAAAATCAACGTGAGAAAAAATGATTAAATAAACTATGGGTTGTGCTGATCTAAGACTAACCACGTAAAAAAAAGACTTATAGAAGTTTGGAGATCTTCCTTTCAGTCAGGGTTGAATGACTTCATAGGACCATTTTTGACCTCATTGCACAAATTCAAAGACGCTGGTTTGTGGATGCCAGCCAGTCAGCCGATCGTTCAGGCTGATCGATGGTGACGCCAAGAAGCAGTAGAAAATCAGCACATGGCCAGACGAGAGAGGCTGCAGGGATATTGATCATAAAATGTATGACTGTCAAAACACAACAGCTCTTCCTCCTCCTCATGCACCCTGTCTTACTGACTGTTGCACTTTCAACAAATCAAATCTTATTTACGAAACCAGGCTCCTGCTGATGTTTTTGGATTCATTCTGGGGAAAAAAAAACAAAAAAACATGAATTAGAAGTAATGCACATAGATCAAAATTGTGACAGTTTCCAGTCATCACTGCTCATAACCAGTAAAAGAGAAAAGGGGAGTTGTCTATTCTTGTTTGAACAGGAGATCAATTCTAAACATGCCAGTTGAACATGGGAAACTGACTCAGACATAGTCATTTCAAGTCATTTCAGAAGAATCTTACAATCTTGTAGACATATATGCGAGCAGAAATTATTAATAATTATAGGCTACTCAGTTGGAGTCTCCTGACCGCTCAATGCGTCCTGAAGTTAGAATGCAAAGGCGCGCATTCGTTATTATCTTGGCTTGGGAAAACTTGTAAAACCGGTTAGAGTTTAAACATTCCTTTCTTTTGGCACACTGTACATAGTTTTTCATTTTGACTTCAGGTTACACGGCATTGACATGGATTAGCCTTTAACTTAATGCCCAACCAAGTATTTGTTTGTCATGTTGTTCAAGGGTTTTGCACGATTAGTTAGAGCAGCATTTTAGAGTACAGTGGCTGTAGGCTTGTACGATGACTTTTATCTGTGGTAACTAAATCCAAAGAAAAACACCTACACAAACATAATTATTTGCATTTGACGCATCTGATGTCACATCTCTCCTGATAGTTGGCGCATTGCATGCCTTTTTTACCCGATCCCCTCATTCGCAAGCAGGCTGCTGGTTGATGTATGCTTGAATTATGTGTTTCTTAACGAGTTAGCACTTTTACAAGCAAATGACAATGTCCAAAACTTGTCAGTGCAGTCTGACATTTCCATTTTAGAGTTGTATGAGTAGGCCTGACAGAGGGCAAGTAAGCACATGTCAATACCAGGCATGCAGTGTGGTGATGAAAGCAAGAAAGGCTTAACAAAATATTTTCATAAGATGTGTACTTAGTAACTGCATTTGGGAAATACACAGCAGGCTGTGTGACATCTTTTGAAAAAGTGCAGCCCCTTGTTTACAAATAGAAGTTATGAATGACCTCTCCAATAGCGCAAACTATACCCAGAGAAGGCCTGTAAGGGAAGAAAGCTCCCTCCAGCACGATGCATACTATCAAGGGGTACTGCCACCCTTTGTAGCATAAGGCAATTTGCTAAATGTTTCACAGCTCATTTGGAAGGAAGTTAGGACTTAAACCCCATTTTCTGCAAAAAACAAAACAAAATGAGCCATACAAGATTTTCATGTTTCATGAAAAGAAGAGTAGAATTTCCTAGTCAGTTAAAAAAGGGTCACTCACAACACAGAAAATCAAAGTATCACAAACAAAAAAGGTAAAGACATAAAGTACAAATACTTTAACATCTTAACAGTCTTCTCAATTGCAAGTTTTCAGAAAAAAAAATGAAACTGGAAGAGGAATGTGTACTTCAATGGCTGGATCTAACCTTTTTGTTTACTCTGAGGAAGTGAAAGGAAAACAAAACATGACAAAGTGAACCCATACGTTTTGATGACACAACACAGTGGTGAAAGAGACCAGGTCCAGAGATCAAGTGTGCTTATCACATCGAAATATCAGCCTGTATATATATGTAAATCAACATGTCTTTGGTGTCTTTCATATTTGAGTTTTAATGGTTCAAATGTGCTTACATTTGATGCTGCAAAACAAGTTTTAATGTCCGGTGTTGCAACCAAGTGTTTAAAGTGCCGTTTGGCTTTTCAGAACTGTTACATGGAGTTGATTAATTCACTAGAAGTTGAAGCTCAACCGCATCACAGCATCCCCCTCCTTTTTGTTTGGATCACATGCTATTCGCCTAGACCACACACTGTCATTTGGGTTACATCTGGCTTTGCTGTGATAGTTTTTGGCACACACGGGTTTTCCCTGTGCCATCTGCACGCTGTGCCCGGCTCTCCTGTAAATCCTCAAGAACAAAGCTCCGTAATTCACTGTGGCTGTTTCGACCGGGATTATCCCCTGTCCCCCCCTAAGACCAACAAAAAACTTTTTTCCACAACTGCTGTCACCCTAACTCTTCCCTCTGTTGTCCTCCGTGCTGTTGAACTTTCTCTTCCCGATGTGCAGCAAAGCCAAGTTCTTTCCTAATTCTGCATTCAAAAGAAGCAAAGGGGGATGTGACAGAAAAGAGCCTGAAAGGTGGCTGAGAAGGGAGGGCGGAGATGCCGGCAAGCATCCTGTCTTTATCCAAGTCAAGATTCAACACTCTGGTTCCAAAGCATTTTGGCCACCGCTGACTCAAACATCCCTTTCATCCAATAAAATGCACACAGAGCATGTACATTTACCAAATTAAAACATCAGTAGCCCCAGTTCACCACACAGTGGACGCTTTAAAAAAAGCAAATGACCATCATAAACAGAAAAAAAAAGCCACAGAGTGAATTTAGCACTTTATAAACTTCATTCTCTCTAAAAAATGGACTTATAGCACACACTTTTGCCAGGGTCATCTATGCAGGTTGCAATGTAAAAACGAAAACCACAGAGGCAAATTATGGCTTTTTTTTGGAGGGAAGTTTGTTGGTTTCCTGTGCCCACAACACTGTACGGCCACAGGCTAACGGCGACGGCTTCACACAACTGTCTGCATCAATAACACCACGCCATTGTGACACATACAAAAGCAGTTTTACTCCTGGCTGAGAGAAAGAGGTGCCACTCTTTATTCCTTCCTCGTTCGCTCACTTCCTTCTGGACGTACTGAAAGGAAAAGCCAACAGCAGAATGGAGGACAAAGAAGAGGAGAACTCTGCATGAATGTCTCTAAAACTAACAGGGCTTGTTTAGTTCCAGCAGTGCCCACATTCAACAGAGCAAGAGTGAACAAGACGATAGAAACACTTTAAATACACTCTGCCAGTCTGAGTACTTATGTGAATCCTATTGTCTGGCATTTCTTAAATATAAAATCTTCTGGCAAAGACACGCATGGCTCCAAACATTTTGCACAAATCATTTACTTCCTTTCTTGACACTTATTTTAGGCTGTATTACAGGGAATTAGTGGGTTACAGACATCAAAAGTTTACACAAAATAAATGGAGAACGCTCCTTGACCATTTCTCCCGAATGTTTACAACAGATAAACTATCCCACAGACATAGTTCACTATTAACTTTGAGGTATCTCATATAAACAAGTCTTCAATATGTCAAAGCAGTTACGGTGCAGAAGAAGCTCTGTGACCAATATTTTTAAGAAACACACAAGAGTTTAGAACTTGCTGTGGTGAGACATCATTTCACTGATTCTGCATTTGTAATTGGACTCATGCACTAAAAGTCCAGATTAATGAAACAGACAAACAACAAACTTGGAACGTCACAACATCCTGTACAGTACAGCAAAAAAAAAAGTCATTTCTTGTGGCATCTGAATTATGCAAAATACTGTCAATATCTTTTTCAATTCAATTCAATTTTCAATTTTTCTTTCCTTTTAGGGTTGAACAGGTTAAGGAGGGAAAGACTGTAGTAACAAAGAATGTACCAGCTGGAGCATCAGACCCGTCAGAAAGCAGGAGAAGACAGATAAAAAAAAGAAAGAGAATTGATTGGGAGAGTGGTGAGACCTCGCAAACAGTGCATTAGAATGTCAGCACTGCACTTCCAAGCAGTCATCTGAGCTTCAGTGCATTCACTTTTACTTCAAAGAGCCATCCAAGGTACATTTCTCTATGCACATGCTCTCACCTGCTAAATAGCTATTGATTTAACATCAAGCAGTGGTTGGGGAAGATGCTATCCATTTCCATTCCTATTTTGCTTGAACAATTTGATGAACAGGACATCGTTGCCAGCAGGACAATCCATTTCCCTCCTCCGAGCTCCTCATAATGCTCAATTTGTCCAAAGCGTTAGCGGCACTAACTACTTGAAAAGGAGGGAAAAGGAAGAGAGATGGCTCTCACATTAATAGTAAAATACAATACTAGACAGTACAATACCAGGCTGCAAGCAAGTGGTGGTTATCACAGGGTTATAAGGAGCACATATTCTACAGTTCTTCAAACTATCATCTGACAGATTTCACATACAGTCATCAGTCCACACAGTGCATTTATTTATTTCAAGGCCAACTCCTTTTAAAGCTCGGGGCTCACAGGCAGTTCGGATACAGGTGCCCAGTCACAGCCTCCGGTCTCCGTTCTCGACATACTCAGCCAGGCTGTTGAGAGCTGTCTCCTCGCTTTTGGACTGAATGACATTGTCCCCTTTCCTGGAGGGCTTTTTGGTGGCCCGGGTCAGCTTCCTTCGGAAGGTGTCTCCAGCGAGGAAGTAAAGAATAGGATCCACGCAGCTGTTGAGGCTGGCCAGGCCCCGCGTCACCTGGTAGGTGGCGTAGACGCGGTTGTTGAACTCGCACATATCGGGGCTCTGAAAGTACAGCCTGGCCCGCATGTTGAGGTTCTTCATCACGTGGAAGGGCAAGTACGAGACTGCGAACACAGCAAGGACTATGATGACCAGGTGGATGGACTTCTGCCGCAGAGGTGCATTGTTCATGTCATTGTAGATCAATGCTTTCACTATCATGCCGTAGCAACAAAATATGATGATGAAGGGGATGCAGAACCCAAACACGGTCAGAGTCATGCTGTAGATGAAATAACCGGGTAGCTCGTCTTTCGTGGTGGTGTCATAACAAGTGATTGTATTGTTCTTCAAACCAGTCCTGGAATAATACAGAATTGGGGACATTGCTATAACAACTACAAGCCACACAATGGTGCTTGTGATGACGGCGTTTTTCTTCTTGAGCCGACCCAGAGACTTCAGTGGGTGCACTACCCCGGTGTACCTGTGGACACTGATGCAGGTCAGAAAGAGAATACTTCCATAGAGATTCACGTGAAATATAAAACGCTGCAGCCGGCACACGACGTCGCCAAATATCCAGTCCGTTTTGTTGAAGTAGTAAAAGATGAGGAAAGGCAGCGAGAGGACATAACAGAAATCAGCCAGAGCCAGGTTGAACATGTAGACAGAGATGCTGCTCCAGGGTCTCATATGGCACACAAACATCCAAATGGCCAGGCTGTTCCCCACCAGCCCGGTGATGAAAACCATGATGTAAACAGTGGGCAGGTAGTAAAACTGGAAACCCGTCTTGAGGGAGCATCCTTTTGTCTGGTTGTCATAATCCGTTACATTCAGCAGAGAGGTCAAGTTCACGTCTGTGGTCATGGTGTCAGGGGCAAAGGATGGTCCTGTTGCATAAAAGGAAATATTGGATGTTCAAGCTTTAGACTGTTTAGTAAACTCTCTTTCACTTAAACAATATAATTGGATCGGTTCAAATTTGACTTAATTTTTTTTCAAATAAAAAATCCCTACAGTCGTGATATGCATGCCATAAAATTATGTAGCAGGACATCAACAAATATGCAATGCAACAAACACTTTCGTGCTCGCATAAGGCATCAAGACGTTCCACGACACTTACCGCTGAGATAGACTTCTATTCCACATTCCTATAGCGTTCACAGTTGTGGGGATTACACACAGAACACGCGGACTGGGCGTTCCGGCAGCCAGGTCTCTTCATTCAGTCTCCCGACGGGGCTCGCGATCCTTTTAAAAGTTCCCCAAATCCTTCGTGTTTCGCCCCTCTCTCCGGCTGGTCCGACAGGACGACGTTTAGCCCACAATAGCAGCCGTGGGACGCAGCAGACAGCTGCATGCTCTGGCATGAGAGAAGGAGGCGCGCACACGCAGCTCGCTCCAAACGCGCCTCCTTTTTGGACCCTTATCTGCTCTGACCTGCCTTCATTGTGTCACAGAAACGCGGACACTCACCTTTTAACCACGCAGAAAGGAGTTGACGAGAGTCGTTGGTGTTTTTACAGCTATTTACCATTTAACACTCTAACGTGCCAGTCATTTACAGATCCGTCCAAGGCAGGAATAAAACACGGATTGAATCTTAACGCTACAGTTTGGTTTGCAGAGATAAATGGGACATATCAGACCACAACACCCAGGGGCGTTGTTGGGTTGTGTCAAATGTTTTTCGGGGTGGAGTTATTTCCCTGTTCTAATTTTGCATCATTGCAATCAAGAGAAGGTATGAGCAAAAGGAGGGCTTGGTTGGGAAGAAGCATGACAGCACATTCCTGTGTTGTTCATCTGTTGGAAAGGTGTGCAGCACACAGTCAAGGACAAAGCAGCCACTTGGCACAGGATGCAGACGGAGGATGGTGGAGAGAAGTGAAAGAGTGAAGATGAGGAGTATGGGAGCCAAACGTTATTACAGTACGAAGGCAGAAAACCTTAATATCCTGGCGAGCGGAGAGAGCCAAGGCTGTGGTCATTCTCTAATGGATGATATTAGTGTGCCAGAGAACTGATATCCAGATGTAAATTATTGACCACCACAGGATAACTGTTTGGTGGTTTCTCTCCTATTTCCCTGCCATTACACCCCTGTGAATGTTTGTCATTTCAGCCTGTCTGTTAACCATCTATGGCTTGTTTATCTTGTCATCTCCCCTTGACAGATCACCCCTTTTTTTTAAGGAGCCAACAGGCGCTCCAGTCAAAATGATCGGATGGCTAAGAAAAATTGCCAATAACTGCATCCTGAAATGTGCCGCCATTCCGATTATGTGTCAGAAAGGAAAACCAGCTCATGTGAATCGGTAAGGAAGGAACATCAAGACTATGCATTGCGTTTAGTAACACGAAACCGAGACACATTTGAGTTAGCGTTGAAAACTGCTTGGTTTGGGTTGTAATAGTCATAGATCTACATTACAGTAGTTTATAGCAACATCTGTCAGTCTAAATTGTTTTCTTTCTTTCAGTAATGTGCAACCTAGAATTATTTCTGATGTGAAAATTAAATTAAGATTAATGCAGTTTAAGATGATAAGCTAACTGCCGAGATATTGGGATATGTTTGGCATCAGTGTATCACAACCTGTCCGTGAGATGTTTTGAATTACATTACTTGGAATATTTTTCAGTTGCAAGAACAGCCAAAAAACCAAGTGTAAACATTCAAACGCAAGTATTAGAGACATAAAACATTTGACAGCACCTGAATGGGATTAAAATGTTTCACTATATTTAGACACCACATTCAGTGGTTGTGTGTATTGCGTTGACACGCTTGTTATATTAGTTTGAATTCTTATAGAATGGGAACTATCCATAATCAGTTAAATGTCATTTATGATGCCCGTATGCTTAAACTAGCCCTCTTGTTTTTATAATTTTTGTGCAATGCATGCACAGCAAGTGTGCAGCAGTTGGCAGTGAGACCAAACTTTCCAAACATTTAAAACAAATCTTGCCAGAGATGATGAACAGGTTTGACATGTGAGTGGTTATTGTTTACGCTCTTCTGACTTTGCAAAAATATTTTTCTGAGGAAGAGTTAAATGACATAATCTCATAGTCAAGAGATGGCTCTCGGTATTTTGCTATAACATCTTCTGTCCAGTGCCCAAACCCATTTGGCTCTGACCTCCATCGCTCCCTCTGAGGGTGAGGCTCCCTGCAAAATAAATCTGGATGTAAATGTTCATGTTAGCCACATTCAAAGCAGAGGTTAGTACACCTGAAACCTAATACAGTAGCTGCTTTGCTTTGGTTTTTTACTACATTTCCAAACCATTTTGAGGACTCTCTTTTTTTAGTTTATAAATGTACACTGCACTGACTGGACATGACTAAATAAGAGTGGTTTAGGTCACTATGTGGATGAATACAACCGTTGAGTTTTATATAAAATACAAAATGTTTTAATAAAAAAACACATGTTTTATCAGTTCACCTTGTTCATAAATGTGCTGTTCTTTAATACTCACTGTTCTTGAGATTTTCATTAAAAGATGTCACATGCAGACACTGTGAACAGGTGAGCAGAGCCCGTTCCCATGGAATCTCAGGAAAGGCTAGATATGAATCATAAGAACACATCAGAGGAACCCCATGCCTGGAAAAGAACTAAAACGCTGCGCACAATTTGATTATGCCCAGAGATTTTATTCACATCCTTAAATAAGGGGTTCTGGTGTAGTGTTTGTGCTGACCTTTAACTGGAGATGTGTTTTTCAAAAGTTTTTTAAAAATTTTACAGTGTATATATAAACACAATGAAAAACTGTCCCAGTTAAATTGGAAGAAGCTTTGCACATGCTTCCAGGTGTGAGTATAGAATAGGGCAACTTTAAAAGTTACTTCTGTAGCTCCCTTGGCCTCATTGTGTCTAGTTTATTGATCACTGATAAGATACAAACCCTAACCAGATACCCATTTAGTCTAAATGGGTGTACTAATAAGTGGAACATTATTACAAGCACTTCAGAGTTACTTGAGAGATTCAGCTGAAACAGTGTATTCATTTAAATCAATGTCTGTTTTTAGTTTGTTTTTATCTCTTTTTGTTACACCAAAAACAATCTGTGAACTGTTGGAATCAATCTGGTGAACAACATTTCTGGCCTTGACATTTCCATTTAGTGTGGTAAAACTGCAACTCTAAGAAAAGAAAATCAGCTTCTAAAGCGCATTAGCATACGAACTTCAGGAGATGTGTTTCTCAGAGGGAAAATCTAATTTGAGAAATTAGAGGATTTGTGAGAAAACAATTTTCCACTTTGCTTTCAAGTCCTTTATATCTTCTGAGCTGCAGTACATGTGCCCCAATTGTCCTTCTTTGTTCTTCTTGTACCTTTGTCTGCCTTCATTCCAATTTTGCGAATATCTTTTTTTCCCTATTCAATCTATAGAAGTGTTTTCTTACTGTTTTATCCAATTCCAGGCTCATCACATGCCCATATGAAGAGCGACCCAAGCATGATTCTGATTAACATCTCAGTTGGGTTTGATCTCTCTTATCAGTTTTCCCACAGACCAGGCTACGAAATAATGAATTCCCGATTAAACTCTTCTCTCCTGTCGTGCTGTATCGCTCCACCATGGAGCTCCCTTCTCTGGTCCCTCTTTCATGTTTATTACACTTTGCCTTCCATTCACAGTTAACATCACATCCCACCATTCGCTGCAGAGGTGACATGGGCTTAAGTTTAAGATTTTCACAAATACTCTAAGAGTCAGCAGCTTTCATTTTCTGAGTAGTCTTTGTTTCTATCTTAAACACCCGTTAGGACCTCCATGCTAATGGTCTGTTACACATTTAGACACATTTCCTGTAATGTTGAATAGCGGGCTTGACTTTCTTCCTGTGGGGCTCCTGCTGTAATAATGCTGCATGGATCACTTAGAAAAAAACTTAGCACCATATGATCACAGTTAAAATGTTAGTGTTGAATGGTCGTTGGGGCAGCAAATCAGCAGCAGGGCTGATAGTCACATAGACGTTTTGTTTTGATCTTCAAATACTTTTAGGCTTTTAAAGCTCGAAGCAATTACAGTATGACATTTGAAAAGTGCTTGAAAATACAACATAAATTATTCAGGTCTAATAAACCCATCAATCTGACAATCTTACGCCATGAAGATATAAACTTGTGCTGTACCTGATTTTTCAAGAGATGTCAGATGACACTACAAAACCAAAAACACACAACTCTGCTTGTCCCCTGAGCTCTGGGAGGAATTGTGGGTTTTTGAACAATTACTGCTGAACCGAACACGTGTTGCACATTTCTTATCTTTATTTTCTCACTCAAATAAAGCTCCAAGTGCTCTAATTGAAATGAGGCTTGACAGACAAAGATACACTCAGTAAAGAAATCTTCTCTACATGCAAACTCTTTACAGAAATACTTATGTGTAAGTCTAACATAATTATTACAACATTTAGCAGCTGAGTTGAGGTGGTTGAATTATCTGACGTGCTAGCTTTTTCTTTTAATTAATTTGAGTATAATACATTTCTGAAGGTTTTGACAGTGAAAGCTGTTGCATCCCACAGCCTCCTGCTGGTGAGTGGCTGTCAGCCCTTTTTTTATCATACCAGACGTGCTAATCCCTGCTAACATTAAGTTTCCTCTTTGCAGGTTCCCTGCTAAGCAGCTAAGGTTATCTTGCTCTTACACTTGTTCTTGTGTTAGAAAGTTATAATGAATTCTCAGTACCTTCTCACACAGGATCTCTGAACTTTGCCAAAGTGACAATCAGGCTCTGCTCACTTCTCTGCTGTAAGCTTTTGTATCCAGCTTCAGGAAGAGGCCTGGGTGATTAAAACCGCTTTCACTGGAGATTTATGGAAGCAT